CAAAGAATGGAGGAGGCAGTGTGCCTCCTGCACCATGCCTGCAGGGAGTCTTCTTCAGACAAGCAGACAGCAAGGCACAAAGAATATGGGTTCATGGGACTGGAAGGGAAGAGCTGCCACAATAGATCCAAACACTTTTATTAAAGACCTCAAGAGTGAAAAAGAATGAGTATAGCAAATGAAATATTCAGTTAGAATAAAGGTAATCTAGATCTCTTCTGTTTCCTCCTCAGAAAAGCAGGCACTGAATGCATGGACTGACTATAATGTTTCTGCCCTATTTAACTCTGATGTTTTTTCAGTAACAAAATGCTGAAGCAGCAATTAATTGCTCTAACAATGTCATGTCTGTACATTGAAAGTAAGCAACTTGATTAATAAAGATAGATAGGTAGTTAGATAGACAATGGTGCCACTGACCTAATGCATAGCAAGGAAACACTGCCTGGTCCTGAGCCACACTCACAATCAATGCTATACCTGAGTTACTTGCTGCAGCCACTGGGTCATTTAATCTCATTGAGAGATTTCTTCTTTTTCTCTGACCCTCTGTTTTACTAAGCATGATGCCTTTCTCCACTGATTGGTCCCTCCTGATTAAATGGCCAATGTAGGAAGCCCTGCTCACTTCTAAGGAGAATTCTGACTGTGCATCTGCAAAGACACATTTGTTTTTGTTTTTCTGGTACTATTCTTCTCCAACATCATATTTCAAATGCATCAATTCTTCTTTGGTCCTCCTTTTTCATAGTCCACCTTTTGTATTCATATGAAGCATTTGAAAGCACAATGGCTTGGCCTATACAAACTTTAATCCTAAAAATGACATTTCTGTTTTTAACGTTTTGAAGTGGTCATTTGCACCAGAGTTGCTGTGTGTGTGTGTGTATGTGTGTGTGTGACTCAAGTGAGCAAAACATAAAACAAATGTTAATATTCCTATATTAACTGAGGATTTTTTTTTTTTTTTTGAATAGCAGAAACTGGGAATGAGGAAAACAATTCAAAACAAAGTCAAAGTGTTCTCTGGGATTTATTTAATTATCTCTAGGATCAAATATTCTCCCAAAATATCAGCAGTTGATCACAGATAGCATGCAAATTTTCCTTATTATAAATTTGACCAACTGGACTCCAGGATCTTAAAAGGTATTACTTTTTGAGGCTCATCAGTCCAGCATCAAGCAGTCAATTGCCATCATGTACTTTGTCTGTGGCTCTGCCTGCCATTAGGCCAGTCCATATTGGAGCCTTTGTTTCCTACTAAGAATTTGGAGTATTGTCTTTTTATTGTTAATCACCCTTTGGAAAACTGTTTTCATCATCTTTGTAATATAACTGTTTTTAAAGCCTGTGCTGATGGAGGTGCCAACAGCTTACATGATGTCACCCAACAAGAGTGGAAAAGCTTTTTGCTGGAACTCATCAATGAGGACTTTGACACTATTAGGACTGAAGTCAGAGAGTTCTACACTGTTAAGTGGTGGCAGCTCATTTCAACTCCTGATCAAGATGACACTAAGTCTACCAAGTGTCTTCAGCTGCTCCAATGGAGCAAAGATAAAAGGCCTCCAGGTTGATGTTATTGTGACTCTGGGTGGGCTGGCAGGGCTCTTCAACCAGATCATGACATCTGTAAGCACCCTGTTTCAAGAGACCAAGATAACTGGTCTTCCAGACAATATTTTAAAGCTAAATACTGATATTTTAAAACAAAGCATTGATACTTACAAACTAAATACACCTTAAAATAATCAAATTAGAAATAAGGTCTTTAAATTGATAGAGTTCCTATGTTTTTCATATGATATTTATGTCATCATGGAATGGTTTTACAAGTAGGAAGAATTTCCAAACTTTCTTTAAATATAGTTTCAAATATATATGTTTGTTTGTTATTTTTAAAATAATGTTTGCTTATATAAAGAAAGCAATTTTTATAAAAGGATGATGGCAATGTCTAAAGTTTCATTTCCATTTCTCATAACAAATTATGAGCAATTGATTGACAACTAGTGGACCCAGCCTCCTGATAATTTCATCATTTTATGTTTATTGTTTCTGATATTGACCTGTATCAATGTCATTTATGTATATAAATATCATACATAATAATAATTATTCATCATCTATATCTCTAATAACAAATTTAATGAGACATATACAATTGTCTTTTGACTTTTCAGCTTGATTGTAATGCTTCTACATCCTGTAATATGTTAGGTAACAGGTAATTCTCCATACCACTTCTGTACATCTTCTACCACTAATTAAAAAAAAAAAAAGAAAATGCTTGTATGGTTAATAGTTGTGGTAGTTAAGGTTGTGTCAACTTGGCTGGGCCTGGTTGACTGGCTAGGCAACTTATTCTCCACGATTAGACTGGCAATCAGCTCCATGGTGGGACCTACAAGAAGCTGAGTAGCTGCCTTTGGGATGTGGTCTGCTTTCTGTATATAACAACAACGTTGGGAATGGTTTTGAATTTATGGCACAGTTGAAGTCTGTGTGTAGCCAAGTAACAACTTGCTCTCCTGATCTTGGGATTTTCAATGGACTTGAGTCAATGGCCTGACATGTGCTTTGGGAGATGGGCCTTTTCATTGGGGATGTGCCTTTTCCCTTGTCGACCTTGGGTTTGTCAGCCTCAACAGCCAGCCTCTGTCTGAGTGAAGTAAAGCCTCCAGTTTCAGTGGGCTGGGAGC